CTGGAGAATAAATTCCCCTCTTGGGAACAGCTGAGAGTCACAGAGTCTCCCACTCGGACAACTGTGTCTGGCGATTGCTGAAGGGCCTGGCCTGGAAAGAGAAGGGAAGACATGTGAGGAGTGAAACGCACTGAAGGGGACACAAAAACACATCCTTGAAGTAAGACATGGGGTGGGGTGGGGTGTCATAAGGATGTCGGCAAGCTATGGGACACTGTCCCATTTCTCTGAGAGACACGTAGGAGAAAAAAAACCCACAAAGCAGCTTCAAATACAATTGCAAATTTGTTATGAAAAATAATGACTTCAGTACTCTCAATCAAAGTACTAAAATGGGACAGAAAAAAACCCATTTGTAGATCTGTAGAGGTTTTGGAGTTAAGAGGTTGAGGAAAAGCTCACCTCGTTCACTGCCTACCCTCCCACTGGAAGCCTTGGGGAATGGGGCACTGCCAACAGCTGGGCACACAGCTGAGGCAGCAGCAGTGGCTCCAGTGCAGCTGTTCAAGCGGAAGGGAAGCTCACTTACCCACAGGGGCCAGGATGGCCACAAGGAACCAGTGGAGAACCATGGAGAAAGGCCACCTCCTTCCAGCAACCTGCCCGAGAGATGTGCGAAGAGGAAAGGTTGAGACAGGAAGAGACACGTCTCTTTGCAGCTGGGCAGGGCACTGAGAGGGAGCCTGAGATGTGAGAAACCAGTTGGCTGGCTGGGAACAGTGGGGAATGACACCTGCATGCAGGCGTGAGGTGCGTGTACCCTGCTCCACTGACTTCCTGCCATGTGTGAGCATGTGTGTGGGAGATAAATGTTATCACAGGAGCATGATGGTGCTCTGTGGCAGCCTGAGTGTGTGCACGGCACAGGGATGCACAAAGGGGCACCAAATGAAGGGAAGAGAAAGAGGGCTCAGGAATGCACGTTTGTGTCTGTGCTCCTCAGCTGAGCCTCCTCTCTGGACACCCTCACACCCGCAAACTCCCAACCCTGCGAGCTGCAATGTGGAATCTTCTCTGCTTCTCCCAGTGCTGCTCATCATGTTGCCCAGGTATGGGAAAGGCTGCTGACCTGTCATCCTGGTGTCTGTTGTAGCATGACAGAGAGGAGTTCTCTAACTGTTCTCTTCCTCCAAAGGGAGATCTCAAGCAGAGGAAAGGGTGCTTTTGGCTCTGCATTGGGACTGCCTCTCGGGAGACTGCACCACAGAGTGATTTCTGAGAAGGGTATTCACCGTGGTATATGCTGGTACAGACTTACCTTCTCCAGGCCAGAGAAGAGCTGATACTCTCCTTTTTGTACCATTCTGCAAAGGAGCAGAAGGATGAGGATGGACAGAAGAAAATCCTGTCTTCCTCTCTACATGGGGCACAGCCTTGTTCAGTAACTCAAGGCTGTGGGAAATCACTGCAGGCAGGAAGTGCGGCTTGCTGTCTGTGTACACTGACACTCTCTGTCTGTCAGAGGCCTGACAAAGCCTCTGCAGGTCTGTGCCGTGCTGTGGGCTCAGCAATGCACACAGTGGAAGGCCGGCCCATACCAGAGAGCGCACGATCCAGCTGCTCAAGGGTGTCATGGGCTTTGCAGTGAAGATGTTCCTCTGTGTCCTTTTAGCAGAAGGGTGCAGCAACGCCTCCAGCTCCCAGGCCCTCTGTTGCAGGTCCAAGTGTGTCCCGTTGCATTCATTTCCACAAACTGCCTACGGGAGATTCAGGCATGACCCCGGATTCCTCAGAAGGAAAGGGAGACACGAACAAAGATGGTGGGCTAAATTGTGCAGGCAACAGGAAGACACCCCCTCCCCCCCCCAACACTCCCAGCACTCCAGCTGAGAGGAGGCTGTGCCTGATGTGTCCATGGGAGGGGTCTCCATTTCCCATGGGGTTCCCTGGGATGTGCAGGTGGCAGGGCAGTGCATTGGGAGCCTTGCAGAACACATGGTGTTCGAGGAGTTAGTGATCTCGAACAGGCCATGCCTGCTCTGTTGGGCCTTGTGCTTAGGGCTTGAGAAGCCCACATGTTAACATGAGAAGCTGCAGTGTGGGAACCTGCCCCATGCCTGCTTGTGCCGCACACTGAGGTATGTTAT